GTAATAAGGTTTGGGGTTTAGGGTTTAGGGGGGTTTGGGGTTTAGGGTTCAGGGTTTAGACCATGCATAGGGAATTGGGTGTCTATTACGTATACTATGGTGATATTCAGGACCGACATCTTCGGGTTCAGGGCTTGTAGGCTTAGGGATGAGGGACGAGGAATGATTGCAGGTGCAAGTCGTGGATCGAGGCTTTTTACGGTTGGGCTGGAGCCCTGGCAACTACGTACTCCATTGTTAAACCTGGTGCAGTTGCCACCTCAGTGGCAGATCAAGACGGGATCCGTGCAAAGCATCGTACAACGGGACACCCGATCAGGGGTTCAATACGTTGCAGTGATCGCGAGAAGGAGAGGCGCACTGCCGTGAAACGACTGAACATCGTCAAAGCTGGCACAGCGGACTTGCGAATGGGGATCAGCAAAAGGCCGATGTAAAGTTTCACAGACTGAGCAGCCTGGTCATTCCGTCGTAGACCGACGGCATCTTCGCCAGTGTGGATGTCTCGTGCTGTTCCTTTTCCGAAGGATTGATACATGGTCTTCTTTGCAGGCTATCAGTTCAAGATTGACGTTCCCTCCAAGCATGTCCCAGTTGCATGTCCCAGACACCGCTGCCCTTGGTTGGTATAGGCCCTCGGCTGGTATCGAGGCATCTTGAGCCCGCAGAAAACCCTAAAGCCGCAAACCCTAAACCCTAAACCCTAAACCCTAAAGCCGTAAAGCCAAAACCCCGAAAGTCAGCTTAGAATCGCGCCCCTCAGGTTTGCCGCACGGCTGATGTCGAAGCGACCCCCGGCTTCCCTTAGCCTTCAGGGCTGTTGGCTTCAGTTGGAGGTGTGCAAGAAGTTGGCTCTGAAGGGTGGATGGTAGAGACTGGGGCTATAGGAGCTGGAAATGCACAGAGACTTAGATGCCGTGAAGGAATGGGTTGCTACGCTCCGTTTCTGGAGTGATGGAACGGAGTGCGCCATCAAAGCCATCAGCATCGCAGCTATCGCCACAGAAGTCGCCATGATCAGCATCGCAATACCATTGCCATCATCAGGATCACCAGTCTTTACGCAAGTAGAAGGATTTGCGCGTGCATGTGTGGGTATGTAGGTATCTTGGTATGTAAGTATGTCGGTACGTAGGTATATGCATAGGTAGCTATGTGGGTGGGTAGGTGGATGGGTGGGTGCCTGGCGTAGCCAGCTATGTAGCCAGCGGGGTAGGTATGTATGAGCAAATGGTGTGAGTAAATGCTCATGTACATGTATTGCATATGCTTAGTACTTCTTGCGGACATCGGCTGCTCAGGTGGGCGCAGGCTTACCCTTCAAGAGCTCCGCAGTCCTAGCTCCTAGATCCAAAAAGTTTGGCAAGGCACCGCGCCGGATTTCGCTGCAGAGTCCCTGCTGATCGCCCCACGTCTTGCGGATAGCTTCGACTGGACTGACAAAGGCGGGGCAAAGACACGTCTTTCGAACTTTGATTAGTCCGTACTGCTACTTGTGTGTGGGGGTAGGGGGTGCAGACCCTCACAAACAGCAGGAAATGCAGTGCACGCCAGGCTTGCTGAAACCTTAAGCTCTAAAACCCCCTAGCCCTGCATATATGCATGTATGCACATATAAATATACATGTGCCTCTTCACACGACCTGCTAATACAAACGAAGCTGTACGCTTCCTTCAAGAAGGCGCTGTTGGCCCAGTGCGGGACCAGCAGGCTTCCCGGGAGTGATTTCTCCTGGGGGTATTCGGGTAATTCTTTAAGGAAGGAGACGCCTTTTTTTGTGGGGAGGTCTTTCGAATGAGAGTATGGTCCTACTTTTCATAGCTTATGGCGGGGGGTAGGGTCCGTTTTGTCCGAAACTTCCAGTTGCATTCCAGGACCTGTTTATTGCGGATGCTTTTGAGGCGTTCGACTTGGGTTCCCGGTCAGGGGCTTGATTCTTCAAGCATCGGAGTCTTTCTCTCGTCCGCTTTGTGGGATTGGGTCTTACGTCCATCTGCATAGACAGCCAGAATAAGCTGCATGGTCGTCATGAGCTGCATGCTGAAGGTATGATATTAGTCTGAGGTCCTTAGAAGTCCAGTAAGGTGAGGGAGCTCTGCAGGGCATTTCTGCAGAGCGGGTTGCGGAACACACGTGTGAGGATGTGAAAGTAGGGTTTATCGTGCTAGATCACGGACTTGTGAAGTCTATGCGAACCTGCTTCGGAATATTTGTGGTTGTGTATGTCGGGTGTCTTTCTAAAGGATGCGCTTCAGTTTTTTCCCACTAGTGTCTACCATTTTGACACCGCTGCGACGGCTAATTCGTAGAGTGAGATCCTCGTCGCCAAAGGACCGAAAAGCCCTGTGGAGATTGAATCATGTTGTTGGGTATTCCTTCAGTCCAGAAGTGTCACAGAAGGCTCCAGAGCCTGCAGATCATGGGCAGCGAATCGTGGCGACGTCGACGGCGATGATCACGATGATGCTCCTGCTGATGATGGTGATGACGATCACGATGACGATAGTATAGGTGAAGCAGATGATGATGATGATGATGATGATGATGATGGTCACAATATTCATCACCACCAGCGCCACCACCACTACCGTCATCATATCATCATATCATCATCACCAGCATGACTGCGCTGACGACTCCACCCTGGTGTGAAGTGTAGGCATGCATCGTCTAGGGCTGGTGGCCATGACTTCCGTGAGCACCGGCCAGGCGCTGGGGTCATGCTGGGCTGTGTCCACTGCTGAGGCAGTGGAAGGCTGGGAGAGTGTTCGCATCGTCAGGCTTGACGTCGCATTGCATCTGGCTGCGTACATGCATGGAGTACACAACAGCAGTTCTCTGTCTACTTTCTAGATGTGAGCAAGAAACTGCAATCTCCACCTCACACTGCAGAAAGAGTCCTGTTGAAGGCGTAGCGACACTAGTTAGGCCACGCCTTGCTGAATTTCCTGACCTGCTTGCTGTGCTGCGGTTCTGCGAAAACGATTGTTCCCGAGGCTCTGAACGAAGTCGGGCAGCGCGAGCATGATTCTCAGTGCCCTTTTGAGGCCAGGTGGCGGTCACCACTGGCAAGCTCGTGCCGTTGTCGCCAGAGCAGTTGGTCGAGTGCGACGTAGCTTGGCTGGGCAGTATTCTCGTGTATAGTGGCACAAGGCAGTGCACCCGCTGTTCATGTGCAGTCATGGTCGTGCTCATGGGCACGCAGGTAGCAGCCGAGCCTTTCTCTTGCTCGGATGTCAGTGAAAAAGGTGATTTTGCAACAATATGCCTGCATGAGCAAGGCAAGCACGGATCCATCTTGTGGTGGAGGCAAGGGGTGCCCGGAACTTAGACCATACAGCTATCCATACCCATCATGCACTTCAAGTCCTTTGACAGGAGCTTTAGTTCCCTTCCCGCTTCTCCGACAGGGCAAAGTGTCCTTGAACGCCCATGTCAGCCGCAACTTTCAACTTCTCAGCTGGTCTTGTCCACTTGTTGGCATATGCCATCGTCTAAGCAGCGAGCTATGGCTACATACCCATTCGTGCTGTTGAGTTAGTTGCAGACACGGTCGCATGGTACTCCAGAATTGGATATCCTGGTGCTCGATTTTCGATTGCTCAGGTGCTGATTGCGGCATGTTTGGGGGCTGGCCCTACCTGGCCTACCAGTACCTTGAGAAAGCTGGCGGCATGTTCAGTGAAGCAGACTGGCCTTATTGGGCGACTGGTATGTACCCTTGCATGCCACAAGGCCTGGTGGAGTTGAAGCAAAACCGAAGCTGGGAGGGAGCGACCCATACAGTTCGTGTTGTAGAGGGCCGCAATCTACAGCTTGCCGATTTCCTCCCGTTATGACCGAGAGGCTACAGCAAACCTCTTTGTGGCAACCACGATGACCTCTTCTGCAAGGCCAACTCCACGAAAGGCGGGGTACTAGGCTTTTCCCGAGTTATTTTGAGGTCTGAGTGGTCAGGATAGGGGTTTTGGGGTAGCTTCCAGCGGAATCATATTCGGGAACCATGAGAAATGGTGTCGGTAACAGGCTCCTACACAACTTTACCAGTGCATTCAGCACCGAAAGGTCAGGGCCCGCTGCACCTCTGTCATGCCTCCCACGGCTTCGCCGTGCGCGTGACTGGTTGGAGGGCGCTCAGCCGCCCCTGAGCTGCCGAGATAGGAACTGAACATCTAAACTTTAAGCCCTAAGCCATCCCTAAACCCTAAACCCCTAACCCCTAGCCAAGCCTTACACCGAAACCCCTGGGTGGGGTCTGCCCAAGTCAAGTCGAGGCAACGAGACTGAACTGGCAATGCAGATGGTGCAGTATGGGCCGCTGTCCGTGCTCATTGTAGCAGACGCTGCTGCTGCACTAGTAGATGCTAGTAGTAATAGCAACGACTAATAATAAGAATACTAGTAATAATGAGAAGAAGAATAAAGATGGTACTATCTGAGACTACTGGTATCTAATGCTCATTCTAATGCGATTACATATGCGAATAACGGTAATGATAATGATAATGATAATGAGTATCATAAAAAAAGATTCATGATGATTCCGTTCATAATGACAATGATGATATTAATATAAAATTGGAATATTCGTAATAGTAACAACAATAATATGACTAAGAATAGCGATACTACTCGTGAAAAATACTAATTCTAGCAACCAGCAACAAGAATTAATAAGTTTGACAACCACAGCAATAATAAGAAGACGGATACCAATAATAATTGTGATAATCGCAATCATGCCAGTTCGTGTTATTCTAACAGGATGGGAAGTTCATGTCGCGGCCACACGGATTGGCCAAGAAATGCGGAATTCTTGTACTAAGCTGTTACCAGGCTGACTCGGTGCATGGAGAAACTACCCGTAGACCCGCACGGTTTAGGGTTTAGGGTTTATTACTCTGCCAGTACAGGCACACAGTTCAGGGTTTGTGTTTTGGGATTTCAGGGTCTGGTCTGTACCATTGTGCGCTGAGTGAGTGAGTGAGTGGTCTGGTCCGGGTCTAGGCTTGGCAGATGGGTAGCATGCAAATGTTGGTGGCAAGAACTATGATAAACAAGGCACCAGCGATACTGGTGGCAATAAAGACATTGTTTTATAAGTCACCTTTCTGATGGTTATAATAAAGACGTTTTTAAAAGTCATCATGAGGGGAGTAGTGGCGACTGGCAGCCAAGGACAGCTTGCAGTTCTATCACTCCGGCATTTGGCGAGGCAGGTCCCAAGTCGAAGGGGGATGCCCCTTAATGTAGTGGCCAGCATAATTACCCATAATATAGGGGCCGTAATAATTAGAAGAGGGTTAGGGGAAATACTATACTATATTTAGAAGGAACCCACAAAACCCTATTCTAATTATGAAGGTCCTTACATTACGTGTCCTCAGGGCTCGTTGTTACAAGTATGCTGCATGATGCATGGTGTCATCCTGATGAGAGACAGTAGTGTATGACACTTTGCCGCACATACTGCATTACAGGTCCGTGTCGAATGGTTACCAATACTATTTTGGGGGTTCCTTATTATAGCTATAGTACATTATATATGTACCTCAAAACATTGTTTCTAATTATCAAGGCCATTATAGTATATATAATACCATTAACTGAGCTTGGCGCTTGTGTTTGCTTTGGGGTGACTAGGACCGTTGGGACGAACGGCAAACTAGAACTTCCCACTACTCCCAAGCCTGTTTGATTCGGCGCGCAGTTCTGAATCCCAGTCCTCAGATTCGAGAAAGACCTCCGGCTCCCTGTTCGTTCGGACCTAATATGGGGGCCGAAATAATTTGAATAGGGTTTCGGTGCCCATTATACCGTATTTGGAACCCCCAAAATAGTATTGGTAAATATTTAGGCCCCTATATTATACTGGTCGTTGTACATTACCCCTGCTGTCGTTCATAGCGGAAGCAGCATGAGCCCGTCTCAACACTGAGCCCAAGCATGAGCCCCAAGTACATGAAGACACCGAACCACACAAGAACCTGCTGGGTCCTTAGGGTTTAGGGTTTAAAGCAAAAGTCGAAATTCTACATCAGGTGGCGTCTTTGGTTGTCAGCCTGATCCAGGATCTGGCAGCTCGACTTCATCTGAGCCTCCTCACCCCATTGTCTGTTTGGATCTAGGTTTCCATCAAGTGTCTTGGTGGCTGAAGGCCTTAAAGCTTGAACCTCAGGGCCAGGAGCATGTTGCAGTTGAAGGAGACGGAAGCACGCCGAAGATAGCTTCGGGCGCGTGTGGGTCACGGATTGCGAAGCTGCAGTGCTTTTGCAGGGATCATGCCCGTATTCGTGCCAGACTTCTTCGGATTGTGGGAGTGGCTTAAAGGCTTTCCTACCGCGTGGTATCAAGCATCGAAACCATGCCCCTCGAGGTTACAAGTCATGATACGGTGCCAAGTCAAGACTGAGATCTTGAAATCTGTGCAGCCCTGTGGTTCAGGGTTTTCTCTGGGTTTTGGTGATGACTGCTTTCTGCGGCTTGCGCAGTGTGGCTTGCATGGCCTGTCGCCTTGAAGCCTCGACCGCCCTTAAGGGTTTCGGGTCTATTATAGGGTGACTGTAAGGATTTCCATATCGGCTACGATAACATAAGGTTTGCTACCAGGGTTACTTGAAGGTTACTGTAAGGGTCCTATCCCCCCCCAGTCAAATCAGCAGCAGCGCTTCCGAGGCATCCTGGGTTTGGACCATGCAGTGCTGCTGGTCGGCTACGGTCAGGAGTCTTACCCCAGGTTTTCAATAATGTTGGGGCCTAAACATATTACCTATATTATTCTGGGGGTTCCTTATTATAATTACAGCATAAGATACCCCAAAACCCTACTCTGATTATTAGGGCCTCTATGTTATTCCCAGGTTTTCAACACCGAGCCGAGGGCTTTGCACCCACGAGTCCCTGAATCCGCCCGCAAGGACCGTGACATCTTGGGGAAGACGAAGCCCTACTGGAGGCGACTTGGCCCGAAATGCGAAGAAGAGGGTTATGACACTTATGCCTCATCGTCGACTTCACTACCACCATCATCAAGACATACTAGCAGTGACTAGCTTGCTGCAGTCATCGCGTGTCTAGTTATAACAGCGGCAGAAATTATTGGCACTACTGCTGCGGTCCTGCTTGGCCTGCTCATCAATATCGTCTTCGTCAGCGCGTCATCATCATGGTCACCGCGATGCTATCACCATGGCCGCTACCGTCACTGTAACCCTATCAACAGCACGATTAGCATCATCATCATTTTTATCATCCTCATCCTCGTCCGCATCCTCGTCCTATCATATTCGCCCTCATCAGTGTCCTCGTCCGGTCCTACACACCTCAACCCTTTGGCATGCATTATCACCACATAGGGGTTTATAGCATTTAGGATGTCGCACGATTCGGTGAAACAGCAGCGGCACGTGCATCAGAGCCGCGTGGGTGAGATTCCCCACATTGTTCTTGAAGCCCCCCGGCCCTTGACGCCCTAAGCCCTAAACCTAAATCAGTCCTAATCCCTAAACCTTATACCCTGAATCCCGAATCCGAAGCCATGAACCCTAAACCCTAAACCCTAAATTGAGCTTAAGTCCTGAAACCTTAACGCATGAAGTCCCCTGGAGCTTCATAAAGCTGTAGCCACCCCGAGGCTCAAGAACTCCTGGGGCACCTCCTGGGGCGAGAAAGGCTTCTTCCGCTTGGCGCCTTACATCGGCAGTTTAGGGTTTTATGAAGAGTTTAGGGTTTTAGGTTTTTTTGGATTTAGGGTTTAGGGTTTAGGGTTTCAGGGTTTATAGGTTTAAGGTTTAGGGGTTGTAGAGTATGCTCCGGCAGTCAGTCTTTTCAACGGGCTCCAAGGTGGGGTGAAGGTAGGTGGGAATATAAGAGGCCGAACAAAAAGGGATCCTTAATCTTACCTTTGCAGGCCTCCAGTATTTCGGAAATGAAGGTCCAGATTTCGGCAATTTGTGGATGTGTCGGGTTAAGGGTTTGAGTATCTGTAGGTTTAGGCGGTGTAGAGGATAAGGTGAGATAGGGTGAGTAGAAGCCTGTCAATTAAAGCCTGGCATTACCGGAAGTTTCAGGTTCTAAGTGTTTAAGGTTTAGGGTTTAGGGTTTAGGACTCTCAATATCTGTCAACCTTTCAAAGCCTATACCTTGGCTGAGCCCCAAGCCCCAAGCACCAAACCCGGAAAGCCTAGGTTGTCACAAACCATGATCCCTAAACTCTACACAGCCTAAACCCGAAACAAAAAACAGTATGGTACGCCCTGGCGGTGCGTATTTTCGCCTATTGAATGCTCTACCAACCCTACCGCGTTCCCGAAGCCCAACCCAGGAGCGGGGAACTGGACGTTGCGGTGTGAACCTTGCAGCGACGACGGCACGCGTGGCCGAGACGTCGCTGGTGGTCTGACAAGTGTGGCTTCCGAGTATAGGGGAGTTAGGGTTTTGGGACATTCAGGGCTGTGTTAGGGCTTGAAGGCTTGGCAGTTTAGGGTCCGGTCGCTCAACGAAAAAGGGCAGCGCGTTCTGTTACAGAAGAGGGCAGTGGTTGGCAACCGGGACAGGATAGCACTTGTTGAAGTTTTCCCATTCGAGGATACCTTCATCGTTTATTGTTACAGAGAACACCAGGTATACAACCTAAACCCTAAACCCTAAACCCTAAACCCTTACAAGTTCATGAGCCGGAGGACCTTGGAGCAGCCTCCAAACCCAAACACCTAAACTCTAAGCCCCAAGCACTAAACTCCAAACCCCCTGAAACCCCCAAAGCTGAACCCGTAAACCCTAATAAAGGGGGCTAAATAGTTGCCAGTACTATTCTGGGGATTCCTTATTATGGTTGTAGTATAATATACCCCCCCAAACCCTATTCTAATTATTATAAGGCCCCTACATTAAGCTCAGAGCGCCTTTGCTCAGCAGGGCAATTGTACAAAGGACAGGTTCCGGCAGCTCGACAACTTGGGAGTTTCCCAGAATTCAGGGGTCCATGATTCTGGGATCCTTGTAGTGAGGATAGTCTGAAACCTAGGGTTCTAAATCATGGTCGCCTGAATTTGTGAAACTCCTGGGATCCTTGTAGTGAGGAGTGTCTTAAACCTAGGGTTCTAATTCAGGGTCGCCTGGATTTGTGAAACTCCTGGGATCCTTGTAGTGAGGAGTGTCTTAAACCTCGGGTTGTAATTCAGGGTCCCCTGGATCTTGTGAAACTCCTGGGATCCTTGTAGTGAGGATAGTCTTAAACCTAGGTTTCTAATTCAGAGTCCCCTGGACTTGAGAAACTCCCAACTAGACCTTCGAGCTGCCCCGCTTGGCTGTGAATCCTCCAAAATGGCCATGTCCATGTGGATAGTTGTCAAAATTATGGTCCCTTTTGGGGTACCCTAAATAATAGGTGCCGTATTATAATAAAGACCCAAACAGGGACCATAATTTTGACAACCACCCATGTAGAAGAAATGTGCAGGAAGGATTTGCAGCCACTCGCCGTGCCTAGACTGTCACTTAGTCGGGACTGCGCGTTTGGCGCCACGGCGGACCGCTCCAGCATTGGCCTTCAGGTTCCAGAAGTGGCCTTCGGAAAAATCGAGAGCTTGGCCAGCCTCTTGGGCTTTTGATGATGGTGATGTAATGGAGATGAAGATAGTGATAATGCGATGGTCAATGATGCTGAAGAGGCCTGAAAAGGATGCTGACTACGATGCTGTAGCGGACTGTGAAGCACGAGGAGCGGACTTTGTTCTCCATGAAAACACATCAGCCAACAACGTGCTTCTCGTGTGATGGCAAGCAGTCATCGCCCAATAGTGTGCTTTAGGTAAGCATGCAGCAACCTGCAGCGAGGAAGACCTTCCGGATCAGCATAGCCGCAAAGAGCCTTCTGCAACGCCATATCATGACTCCTCACGCTGTCAGGGAGCTTTGGGCGGATGAGGACTGGAAAGAGTTCGTGAAGCACCAGGCCTCGCAAAGCAGCTTCGAGTGGGGCTGTACGTTCACGTAGCACTTGCTGTGCCCGATGCTAGTGCTGGTGGTAGTAGGTCTTCAGTGATGCAGCAGCAACAGCAGCACGCTGCAACAGTAGTGGTAGTGGTTGTGGTAGTGGTTGTGGTTGTTGATACGGTACTTAAAAAAGGCAGAACATAAACCGGAAGCCAAAAAGCCATCTTGTTTGGGAGGTAGGTGCCTGGCAGACGGTCTCTGACGTCCTGGTCGCGGCCTCGGGGAGGGACGAGCAACCTAAGACTGGTACATCTTAGCGTTTTAGTGGTTTAGGGTTTAGAAAGAACCTATGACTGGTACATCTTAGCGTTTGAGTGGTTTAGGGTTTAGGGTTACCATATCTGGCAGAATACTCATTGTGCACATGGTGCACAGACCATGCTTCATCGTCATCCATGGTTCCTGCACCTTAAGACTCTCTCCCTCTCTCTATATATTATGTGTATATATATACGTATATATATATATATATATAACTAGAGTATAAACAAACAAAATAAATACAGTTATATTTCACATATATATATATATACACATACACATGTACATGTGTGTATGTATGTATGTATGTATGTATGTATGTATGTATGTATGTATGTATGTATGTATGTATGTATGTATGTATGTATGTGTGTGTCTCTCTCTCTCTCATTGTCCCTGCGTGCTGAGTCTATCCCTGCGCTGTACAACTTCCGCGGCTGGGATCTGCAGGCTCGGAAGCTCCGCAGTCGTCTAATGGAGTTTGTGCATTTCGGGATCGGGGAAAAATCACTATGATTCCTTAGGGTTTAGGGCTTGTGGGGTTTAGGGGTTTAGGAGTCGGGGTCTTAAGGGGTTATGGTTTAGTTTTTTGGATTTCGGGTTTAGGGTTATTCCTTAGGGTGTCTGATTTCCAAGTATACTATCATATACACCGAAGCCCTAGTCTAATAATTAATTTATAAGGCCCTCCATTAGAGCCGCGCCTGGGGTTCGAGAATTCCGTGTCTTCAGGATGTTGCAGGCTTCAACTTGTCGGGGAAACTATGAGCTACCCGACTGGTCCCTTAACTTACACTGACCCTCCCTTTAATCAACAGAAAGTCGATGCTCAAGCTGGCCGTGAGTCAAAGCGCCTTCGAAAAGACCTCGGCTAGATTTCATCCCATTGGCCCGTCCCTCCCTTGCAGGAGATCGAAGCCATAAATCCCGACGAGGACGCGCGGTTCTCATTCCTATGTCTTTGAGATTGGTTCTGGGTTGAAGGTTTCTGTTCAGAGCCGGAGAGGGTTCATTTTTCAGAGCTTTGTCGCATGGGGCCAGTTTCAGCTTCTGCTCCGGTCACGGTCCGCATGGAGAGAGTTCGGAAGATGATTAAGAAACAAGACAGGGCAGCCCCCCCTAGCTTTGGACATAGAGATGAGAGCCGATTGCCCGGCATGATTCGCCTGAGGCCTGCCGCAAAGCTTGCTGCCTCCGAATCTACTTGAACCTCAGCTCCCTAAAAGCGAGAAGCGAGAACCCGGTGGGACCCCAAGGACCCTTACTACAAAGGCACCGACACGGAGGGAGCCAAGACCTGCCCCCAAAACCCAGCAAAACCCAGGTGATTTCCTTCCTTAAGGGCCTCGCCAACGACATTGGCGACACGTCGGAACAGCTCCACCTTCTCGCGGAGCCGCCTCCTCAGCAAGGGATGCAGGAGGAACTACAGTGGAGTTTGTTCTCTGCTTCAGGCTTTCGGATGGCTTTCGGGTCCACCTACAGTCTAGTGGCTCTACATCTGTTGAGGGTAGCGGCCCTAATTCTGCTGAACCCGGTGTTCATGTGCTTTTCCAAGTGTCTATGCTTTACGGATGTTTAGGGTTTCCAGAAAAGGAAGCTAGGGGTCTAACATACAGGGGTTTTACAACTCGAGTTTCACAACTTTCCCGAACACCCAAGGACCACATCAAAACAACACCGAGCCCTTGTTCCCCCTAGGTTGGATCCGCAGAAGAAGGCGGGCCTCAGGCACCTCCAGGCATCGGCTTCAAAGAATCCTGCGGCTGCGCAGCCATGGGCTCAGCCTCAGCGCGATGTTGGTGGAGGTCAGGAATACTGAATACTGGAAACCGAGGGCTCCTTTATTTGCAGGCTTTTGGGGATGGAAAAGTTCCGCAGAAGTGGCCACCTTCTTTTGGTCAGTTCTCTCGTCTCAGACGTAGAGCTGCAGCCGTGGTCTGTAGTTCTCACTGGGTCTTATCGCTTGGGCTCCATCCATCGACTCCGGATTCGACTTGATCTGATGCTTCTCCAGACTTGTCTACCAACTTACACCATGAGCTGGCAGGGGAATTGGAGGGAGTTAGTGGTGCTGGCGGTTTTTCGGTGCCAAAGAGTGCTGAGCATTGATGCATGGTTCGCGGATTCAGATCACGACGACCAGTACTATGGTGACTAATCATCGCGCTGCTAGTGCTGTCATCATGCTGTTACAGATTCAAGCAATGACGGCGGGTGATGATGACTGATGCTGATGTTGAGGCCAGATCTTTACTGATAAGGCCGAATCTCAAAGCCCTAAACCACCGACGCTCCAAGCCCGAAAAACCCCAAACCCACAAGAAACCTAAAGCCCTAACAGCCGGAAGCACCTAACCCTTGAATCGTAACCCTAAGCCCTACAACTTGAAGCCCCTACACCCCAAGCCCTAAACCCTGAAGCCTTTAGGCCCTAAACCTTCAACTAAAACCTTCAACTCTTAACCCCTGAGCCTTAAATCCCCCAAAGCCTATAAACCTTCAGCCCTTAATCCTCAAACCCCAAACCCTACACCCTAAACCCAACCTAGACACCCTGAACCCCTAAACTCTGTAATCCCTCAGCCCCTAAGCCCCATACCGGGAACGAACCTCACGCAGCTGCTGCCCAGGGAAGCTCCGAGCAAGTCCAAGGCCAAGCCTGCGTCCAAAAAGTGACTGTAAGGGTTTCGAAAACGGTTGACTACGCTTTTATGAGTTCTGATGAAGGTTCCCATAAGAGTTCCCATAAAGGTTCTACGCATGAGATCGTTGGGAGATTCGGAGGTTAGGGTGCAGGAGTTGAGTTTTTTTGGGGGGGTAAGGGGGGGTTCAGGCGTTCAGTAGTAATGCCTTACGGAATTCCAGGTTGTGTGATGAAGTGCTGAAAGTTTGGAGTCTTAGCCCGAAGTTTGCGTCCCGATGGAGGATGTTACGGAAGCCATTCAGGGTTCAGGACTTCGGGAGAACTCCGCTGTTCGAAGTTTTTCGGAGATGCTCAATATAGTTGCAGTGTTTCCTTAGCCGTCAAGTTTCTGTGTATGTTATCTGGTTCGTAAGATCTTTTCTGAGCAGTCTTCCTTGATTCTCATGGTCTCATGCCTCCACCTTGAAGCCTACAGGCGTCCTCGTCCGCACCACGAAAGGTCGACGCGGCGGGGTGCCACAGTTTCAGGCTGCACAGGATTTGAGGTTGTGGGCCTCACAACAGCAGGTGCGATCATCTTGACAAAGACGACTGCATTCGCTGATTCCGAACGAGCTAAAACAACGCTGGCCCAAGGCGCCAAAGAATGACGGCCATACGGGAGCTCCCCACCCTTTCTTTGCAGTGGCTGCATGCTCTGTTCAACTTCTTGTGACTGCGCTCAGAGCTCACCATGTGCCAAATGCACAAAAGCGTAGTATACTGTTCTCTCCCCGCATCCCGATCCCTGAAACCAGTAAGCTTGCCCTCTAAAGTCCAAAATCAACGAGGCTTCGTCTTCTACTGAGAACTCAAAGGAGGTCCAACAGGTGGGACTGGGGGGCCGGGCTCGTGGAGGTGGGGTTGGCCTTTGCAAAATTGTGTGCGAAATTGGGTCAGGGTTTGCAAGAATCAAACGTCCCTGTTCGTTTAAGCTTTCGTACAGACCTGGTGCAAGTCGTTGCTCGAAAGGGTACCCGTTACGGACGCAGATGGGAGGAGCGCTTCCACCGCATGGTGTGGTACAGGTAGCTATTTAGTTGCGATTGTTTCTTTCACAGAACCGGGTCCGGCTTGGCATGGCCACTGTTGCGATGATCTTCAGCCAGCTCTGTGCAGCAGGTTCTCGACCTGAAGATGCCCAGCATGTACAAAGCTCACGGCTTAGCTGTCTTCCAAAACGTTCAGCTGTGTAAACGAGGGTTTAGGGCTCCTCTGCGGGTCTGACGAAAGCTTCTTGCAGAGCCTGGGACCGCAGGCAAAGCTGGATGCCGCGGTCGTCCTCAATGCTGGGGACTCTGTTTGTGCATCTTCGAATACGTTACCTGGCATCGCAGTAGCAGCAGCAGCAGCAGCAGCGGCAGCAGCAGCAGCAGCAGCAGCAGCAGCAGCAGCAGCAGGAGTAGCAGGAGTAGCAGTAGTAGCAGTAGTAGTAGTAGTAGTAGTAGTAGTAGTAGAAGTAGTACTAGTAGTAGTAGTAGTAGTAGTAGTAGTAGTAGAGACTGGGCCCACTCGGTGCCCCCACTGATTCCTGTATTTTGCTCTCGGATGTTCGGTTATGCTCTCATTTTTCTTCCCGAGGTGTGGAGGGGGGTGGGGGATGCTAAATGACGTGCTTGCTCCACCACAGCTAAAGCAGCTCGAAGAAGAAAGCACAGCTCACACTTTGGGCTTCTTGCAAAGGTCGCGGACAGCAGATCTGGCTTTCTGCGCTTGCAGGATCTCCAGCGTCCACAACTGCTTCCAGCACCTACTCGATTTCCCATACGGGTAACCGCAGGAAGTTGCCCAAAGCAGCCGGCAGTGGCCCTCCTTCTTGTCGCAGCAGCAGAACCATGCTCAGGAACACGGCCAAAAAAACAGAAACGGAACATGGCGATCGGAAAAGTTCATCGTTCTGTCGTGCGGATGCGTGCTGACCTGCTTTAGGTCATGCTAATGCTGTTGATAGGTGGTTGCAGCATCCGGGTCTTGCGCCTGAAGTGGGCTGCTATCTCGAACTACCGACTAGTGACTCGGGAATGATCAACAAAAGATTTGTCGTCGGTGCCTGATCCATTGTTGCCCGTGTCGTCTCATGTCGTCGCACAAAAATAGGAGAAACTAAACCACTAACATAACCGGAATGAGAATTAAACCATTATGCAACGCGCGTCTTATCTCCGAAGTGAGCCATTTGAAGTTTCGCCAGATAGTGGCCTGAGTCATGCTTGGCCTCGAGACAAGCATATGACTACACAACTCTAGCACGTTACTGGGCAGCCCCGATGCACTTATTTCTTTTGGCTTTCTTGTTTCGAGGTCTTAGCTTTTCTTTCTGCCCAGTGGCGCTTCCTACTCTCCCTGATACACAGCACTCACATCAGTGTGTGCTTGTATACGCAGGTGGAGTTTAGATAGTTCTTTAAAGGAGTTGGGTTTGCGACTTCTGATTGCATACAAAGTAAAGTCTTCTCAGAACGACATGTGCAACATGAGCGCGTTGTTATCACTGGCATGCCGGGTACCCACCAACAAATCCCAAAGAAATATGCGCGCCATTGGCCCGAAAACCATTGATGCCAAAACTTGCCATGACTGCACACAATTCACTGGTATTTACGCTACTTTCTGCATGTTGGCTCAACTCCGACGTCTTTGAACTGCATTGAAACTACGTAGTTTGTCCCCCCACAGCTTTTGGCCCTGAATGATGGATTCTTCTTGGAAGGCGCCCAGTGAGCCCGGTGCGTAGTAG